CTGAACACAAGACCAAGTTGCGACAACGAGTTCAACCCACTTCTATAAATCGAAAGGAGACTGCGACCATAACAGAGGTCACAACATCTTGTTCTTCATATATACAAATTAGCAAAGTTCATGTTTGAAACTCATGAAATTAAATTAGAAGCTATCAAACATTGTGAAATATTTACATGAATTTTCTAAAATAATCAGAAAAATGGCAGTGGAAGAAACACATTTATTGGTAAGTTTTGATGTTGAATCCATGTATACAAATATCTCTGGATATAATGAGCTAACGGCCCTGTTGAAAATCCTGGACCGAGAGGAGGATCACAATGGATGAGGAGGGAGTCGTTAACACCAGTAATAAAGTTGACAATTAGGACAATCTATTTTACATTCAACGGGAACATTTATGAACAAATATTTCGACTTCCCATAGGATCGCCGCTCTCACCACTTTTGGCAAACATATACATGAACCAAATAGAAGAGAACCGGCAATGCTCATGCGGCACCTGGATGATTATTTCGCGCTTTGGTCACATCGAAGAGAAAAACTGGAAGATTTTCTTAAGTTTATAAACCAGATTAATTAAAAAATTAAAATTAAGATGGAGGTAGAGAAAGGTGAGTGATTACCATTCCTGGATGCTGAAGTTAATCGCTCTAGTGGGACGCTCGAAAAGAAATTGTTCAGAAAGAAGTCTTGTGCCAGGATAATACAACATTTCCAGTCCCTTCACAATTACAGGCTAAGGATAGGAATACTGAGGAGCATGATCATCCGAAGCCTACGTTTAACGACGACCCGTGAAGGCAACGCCTTATATCTGCAAGCATGGGAATCAGAGCCTAGGTACTCTGCTCGGTGAGGCGGCAGTGTACGTGCTTCTATGAATTTGAGAAATAGCTTCTGGAATAAAATGCACACACCGTGTGAAATCGGTCAGCCAGAAAGATAAGAAACTGTACAATGAGGGTGATCCGGATAGGAGGCCCTAATCAGATTAGCAGATCGAAAAACAGGGGGTCAGGGTGAATAAAAGGTGTGATGAGGCCACACTAAATTTGCCGAGGATCCAGACACACTTTTGAGATGCACTTATACAAACAATTTTCCTGTCACTTTAGGTATGTCCTAAAATGTCGCACCAAATACATCTACCGTTTGTAGATAAGGCTTGTCGTTCTTAAATAAGAAATTGATTACTCTAGGTCGCTTGGGGTGATTTAAGGAGCAATTGTTGAGCTTTTTACATAAGGGTAGGAGTAGGCCTCATGTGCCATTAAACTCCATCTCACCTTGCCTCCCAAATGGATATATCATCCAGGGTGGACTGCAGTTTCGACTTCGCCTTGGCCCCGTCAGTACTCTCAACAGGACTCGATACCGGCTTATCAATATCATGGCGACGTTACGACTCTTAAGACAGGTCGAAACTGCAGTACAGCCTGGATAAGACTAAATGAAAGTCATTAATATCCGCCTTTAGATAATCTTAAACGAGCTAAGATAACTAAGGTCTTATTCACGAACCATTGATAGTCTCGAAACTACCCACAGGGAAACTATGTCGTTTTTATTTGCATTTCATGAGTGATTAAAAATTACTTTGCCCGGAGTGAAGGTCAATGTCTCTGGGAGGGTCTTTGAACTTTTCTGACGCTTCGAGGCATATATCACGCTGTTAAAAAGAGGGGTAATGTGTCTAGACAACCATTCTATCAGGCTAATAACTATACCTTTATTTTTGACCATATTTTGCAGACCCGAATGGTAGACAACTAGCACCGGTTGTTCGGATGAACAGGGAGAACACCCTAATGGTGGTCGAATTGCTGCCTCGCACTGAAGGTACGAACATACTTCCAGACTTCCAGAAATCTCATATTCGATTTGACCTTAGCTGGGGGACAAGCTCTCCCGTACTTTTCATTGTTTTTTTTTGAAGCAGTTTGTTGGTTATATTAGTTATACAAAACTCGTAAGTTTGCTTAATAAAGTCTTGACTTGTATATACGTTTGAGAGGAGTCCTTAATTAGATCGTTATTACCCATTTTTTTCTTAATTTATTTGAGAAAAATTTCGTTTCTTAATTCAAAAGTACTCTGATATACCTTGGCGTCCCACTTCAGGCACTTACACAGGCCTTCTGAGCGTCCAGGTCGAGTCTAACCAAATGCTCGAACGGACTTTTGCTCCAGTTTGCAGGACTTCAGAAACATCGTTTCCGTTTTCAAATGACTTTTATTCCACTGTGCCTAACGAAAGGTCATTGTTGAAGGTTGTGTCATCGCCGAAGTCTCCAACAGCCCCTGGATTCCTTTACACACACTGGTTCAAATTTTATGTACTCGATCCGAACTGCCTGCTCGTCAGGGCGCCATCTGAACAATGCCAACCGGGTTGTATGGCCACTTTCACTGGTGAGCTCTGTTCTTTTTATAGGTAATTTGTCATTAGACTTACAAGTCCTACTAGTTAGTAGATAACTTATATTGAGGCTCTTGGACAGCAATGAAGAAGGAATATATCCGCTAGTTTCAGTCTATAGTTGAGCCAGAACTCTTACCATTCCGTGCTAGAGCCCAGTCCAATCCTCTCCTGGTATTCAGGGTCAGAAAAATCTTCATTCTTCCTTTAAAAAACTATCTCTATAAACTCTATTTAGAGCCTGATTCACTTTCACTGTGGTATTAAAAATCTCAAAATGGAGCAAGTAATAATAATTGTCTTTGGGGCTTGATTTATATTTCAGTAGCAGCAATTTGCTCGATTTAGGAAGAAGAATAGAGAAAGCACACATTTATTACTTGTACGTTAAAAAAATTAATTTAGCTTCGGATTGATAGTGAAGCCAAGTTTTGCATAGGCTTACATGTGAAATCATCACTGTGCATCATTTCCTGTAGCCTTAGAGGCTTGATAACGACACTGTCCACGATAGCATGAAGGGGTATTCATAATTATGCTTTCAATTCCATTCCACTATACACTCCGAAGAACCAATCTCATTCGGGCTGGGCTAGACCCTGCCAGTGTCACATCGACCTGCCCAACAGGATTGTAAGGAGTGTCGTATGCGTAGAGGGATGGAATGCTGCAATATTCATGCATTTATGCGCCTGAACGCCTCAAATGTGAAGTAGTTCCGAGCTTAACTGTTCTGCTGCACTGCCGTTGTGGATTGCTTTTTTCGCCATACTTCAGAACACACCAGTTATTTACAATGAAGTTAACACTATTAGACTAAGATCAGAGAACAGGGCAATTCATCGAAAAACCTCCTTAATAAATTTAACATATTTAGCAGAACGAACTATTCTTCCTACCAACTGAATCACCATTGCTATACCAGCCATAAAACCCTTACGACAAAGAGCTTAAGATAAATTTTCTTTGGCATATCAAAACTCGGAATAAGACATAAAGCCATTAAGCACCAAAAGCTTGAATAAAACCCTAAAATTTTCTCTTCTACCATTCTTCCACTATACTGATTGGAGAAAACCAAGGATATATACACTAGCAAAAATGAAAAAAAAGCCATCAAGACTGATTTTTTTAATTAAAAAAACTCTAGCAATCATAGTAAAGTCTCAGTGGAGATGGCGCACAAGACTCATTAAAAATTGCTATAAATGGAAGATGCTTGACACTGTCTTCGCAACTTGGTTGCAACATGTTTTCGCAACTATGTATAGTCCGAAAGAAATCGATACACATTAAATCCTCATGAACTGCAAAACAGTTCATGCACTCAGTGATTTAGTACACCAACAAATGAACAGAACAAAATATAAACATTGGATTAAATGCATCGGTTAATAACATTTCCATTACATGAGACATCACGAAATTGTAAGAAAAAACTAAATACAAATGTTTATCAA